GTCCCCATTGGTTATTAAATTTAAGATATATAGTTTTGTTTATAGTAATATAGCTGGAATATAACCATGTCAGGAATATAATTTTTTAACATTAAAATGATTGACATATCTGATCGTCAAACAAGTACTTGTCCATATTGAGAGATATTGCTTTGGAACAGCATTCAGAATCAGCCATTTTGAATACATGTATATATATAACATGATGTATAACGAATATATAAAATTTAAATATAATCAGTCAAAGCATTTAAGAGATATGGCACTAGAAGCCCAATCATTAAAACAAAATGGCCGTCAGACAGCCATTTTGAATCCGATCCGAAAAATAAATAATGTGCATCAGGAACCTGTAATGTTAATATATGTACCAAGTTTGAACGAAATCCATCCATAAATGCCAGAAATGCTTGATATTTGATGATTGTTTAGCACAGAAATGGCCACCATTTGGCCATTTTGAATAGGATCGTCAAACCAATATATCTGTCTATCTATGACATGATGTATAATGAATATGTAAAACATAATCAGTGAAAGCAAGTCAGAGATATGGCACGAGAACCACATTCATTAATACAATCAGCCATTTTGAATCTTATCTGAAAAACAAAATAATTTGCATCAAGGTCCCATAATGTCTAATGTATATACCAAGTTTGAACAAAAGCCATCTGTAAACAGCCGGGAAATGCTTGATTTTGATGATTTTTACACAAAAATGGCCGCCATTCGGCCATCTTGAATCAGATTGTGAAACAAATTGATGTGCATATGTATAATATCATGCTTGATAAATAATTTGCATCAAGGTCCCATAATGTCTAATGTATATACCAAGTTTGAACAAAATCCATCTGTAAACAGCCGGGAAATGCTTGATTTTTAGGATTTTTTAGCACAAAAATGGCTGCCATACGGCCATCATGAATCAGATCGTAAAACAAAATGATGTGCATCAAGGTACTATAATGACTAATTGTATATACCAAGTTTTAACAAAATCCATCTGTAAACAGCCGGGAAATGCTTGATTTTGATGATTTTTAACACAAAAATGGCCGCCATTCGGCCATCTTGAATCAGATTGTGAAACAAATTGATGTGCATATGTATAATATCATGTATGATGTATGTATGAAGTTTGATTGTGATTGGTCAAGGCATTTCTAAGATACAGGTTCGCACGCACACACACACACACGCACGAACACACAGAGGTCAAAACATAAGTCCCCGTTTTCGGACTGCGTCCGAACGGGGACTAATAAATCAAATTTTGGGTTTATAAGCATTAAAAATTGAGCAATTATCAACTGCAGACTGTTTCACATTTAGTGTGCCAGAGGCCTATCATGTTTTAGGTCAGCCTAAAACATCCAAATTTTGTTTGGAAATCCAATTTGTTACAACAGAAATGTCTAACATGGTGGACCTCATCGTGTTGTTTTTCCTCGGCATGTTTACGTTGCAAATCAGGATGAAGATGTAGTTTGCATCATTGGAATGGTGTTCTCGAGTTCTCCAAACTAAATGTGAGTCATGGAAGGTGGAGAGAGTGGGCACAAACAAACTGTTCAATTTGATTTGATTTGATTTTCTAATGTGAAACCACCTGATATCTTTACTGAATAATGCTCAATAAAACTTGGAAATAATGCAATTGGCAACCATGAACCAATGAAAATGCCCAGAACGAGATGTATAACAATTGAGTCAAATTAATTGAATACCTAATATGGACAAATGTATAAAAACAATTATATAATGTCTCCTTGGTAACAACAATATAAAGTTAACAAGTCCAATCTGGCTAGATTACTAAGTATAAATAATCTCATGCCAGTTCAACTTTGTCGAATGGCAATGAATTCATGTCAGGTGGGGTTAAAGCAGCCAAAACCATATCGTCATATAGCACATCACCATTTTTATGGTTACTATTGGCAACACGGCATGACACCATACAGCACTTTCAGCCAGAACATTAGGTCACATAATCAAAAGTGCTAAAAGTATGCTTCACATGCTGGCTGGCTGAGTCGATACCAATACATTGATGTATACACGAAGGCTGAGTATAGTTGATAGGAATATACTGATGTCTACATATAGACATAGTTGATAGCGATATACTAATAGTGGATACGAATATACTGATGTTTATGCAAAGACATAGTTGATAAACACAAAAACATTGCATGTCTGCATACCTCTTTGTGATGGCTCTGGTGTTTCTGTTGGGGTATGCTTTCCTCCCCAAAGCCCAGGTGTCATCAGAATACCACTGTGTTCTAAATCATCAGGAGGTTTATGCTGAGTGTATTGATGCTGGTCAACATCGGTATAAAATCTAATAAAGTGAAAACAAACAAACCAAGCATCTTATACAAAAATATTAATGTTTTCGTAAAGATTTATTCTACAGCGTTGTGTGGAGAGAATACTGATAAAGGAGAAAGGTAAACTTTGTGAAGAACACATTCCTTTCACAATCAGTTCTGTACTACAAGATGATTTGATCTGACGCAGGTGACGACTCCCTCATTTTATGATTCATCATACTTTAGTCGCACACATCCCATACTTTGAAACAGTAAACAACCACCCTTCTCGACTGAGATAGCTCCGCTGTTAGCAATGCACATTTCAATTAAAGAACAAAAGATATCATTAGAAAATGAACAATATGCATAGTATCATTGCAACGGGACTTGCTGTTTTCAACAAGAATTCAAAAATATCATTTTTCACCATAAATGATTGTGGTTTTTAACAAGAAGAAATTATCACTTTTTACCAAAAATGACAAAAATATTCACAAAAATTAGATAATTAAAGATATCATTACAAAATGAACTAATTTAAGAGTGGTCCACATGTAGTACCTATATATGTAATATCAAACCAATTGGACTTGTGGTTTTTAACAAGAAGTCAAAAAGATCACTTTTTACCAAAAATGACAAAAATATTCACCAAAATTAGAGAATTGAAGACATGATCATGAAATGAACAAATCTGAGAGAGGTCTACCCAAGGTACATATACACCAAGTATCAAAGCATTCAGGCTTGTAGTTTTCAAGAAGAAGTCGAAAAAATAAAACATTGACAGGACGCCGACGGACAATCACTCATATGATAAGCTCCGCTCGACAAAGTCGACAGCGGAGCTAAAAAAAATCATATTATACCGTGGTTGTTGTTGCATGTCATGATTGACAACATTTACATGACTGGTCATTGCAGGGGTGTTGTAAACTGCAGGGACTTCCTTCCCAGATATAAGATCTAGAGCCTCTCGACTAAAACCAAAATCTTCTAATTTAGGAGTGGAGAGCTTATCTTCTTTCAGGATTTGGTTTCTTGGAGTTCCACATCTGAAAAACATTGTGTATATACACCGAACATGATGAGAGGAAGCATAGACATGTTTAGTTACAATATTTGTTCTATGAGTAGATTATGCACTTGCGTTTATGTCAGTAGTATGTCTATGGACAAAATAAGTCATATTTGAATTGTCTTGTATACAATTGATCACCTTTAATAGAGAGCAAATTCAGGCAAGGGTTCTCCGAGCCCGCGTATTCACATAGTTCATACCCACCATAGACTCCGGTCAGTCAAAATGACTATTTTGAACTGTAAGCATTAATCAGCGATTCTGCTGGTGACGGAGAGATAGAATTCAGGTCAGGGGAAGCCCCATGACCTCAAGATTCTTTTACCTCTTACGTCACGAACCCACGTGACCGAGGCCACCTGGCAGCGCCACAGGTAGCCGTCCATCACTCTGGTTCCTTTCTCTCCGCCTCGAGGACTTAGACCAACGCGACGGAAAGAGTGGGGAGGTTGGGGGGGAACCGGAGTCTATGGTGGGTATGAACTATGTGAATAGGCGGGTTCAGAGAACCCTCGTATAAATTCACTACGTTCAATTACGCACCATAGACTCCGGTCAGTCAAAATGACTATTTTGAACTGTAGGCAGAGTCAGACACCGATAGGTGGCGGGGTTTTCCGAGCAAACAGAAAAAAGGGAATGATGAAAGTTTTTTTCCCAGTCCGGGATGAAAACAAACTCAAAAACCTAAGTTAAGACCCAAGAAGGGTGGTGTCTTACCTTGCCTGTGCTGTCCCCGAAGCAAGAAGCCAAGGGTTCTGTGCGCCCGAGAAAGCTAGACCCAAGCCGAATTCGGGGGTGATAAGCTTGAAGTAGGACCGAAACAGTTCGCATGAGGGCGTAGGTCGAAAGAAGCGAAACCTAGGAGCCTCCATGAAGTGCTAGTGGAACAAACAATCTGCCCGCAAGAATGCCAAGACTGATTTATCGCCTATGCGCATGGGCCCCTGCGGTCGTTCGGGCTGGGTCAGGAAACAAAGCCTGACGGGGCCTAACCTGAAGAGACCCTGCTCAATAGATTGGCTGTCTCTTAGGTAGTAGTTGATGAAGACGTTCTGCGTTCTTCAGAAGCCTGCCCTCAGGATGTGTTTGAGGGGGGCGCCTGACGCCAGCGCTAGTGAGTTAGCAAACGCATGAACCTCATGCGCTCGTACTTGGTGTCTCTGCAAGGACTGTGTTGAGGAGGATAGTGTATTATAGACCTCCAGGACAGTTGCTGTAATCCACCTGGAGATGGAAGTCGGGGAAGCCGGCTTATCATGTTTGCCAGGGCCGTAACACAAAAACATGTGTTTGGTTCCCCGTCTGGAAAACCTGGTACGGTTCTCGTAGCAACTCAGCACTCGGACCGGGCAGAGAAGCAATTCCTCCTGATCCTCCGGACCGACAATATTTGACAGCCGGGGGAGGATCGTGTCCTGGGATTTGGTTTATGGCGAGAAACCTGATTTGTGTCTTTAAGTACAACTTGATCGTCCTTAAAGGGGGCACAACCGTTCGCGAAGGACAGTGCGCCTAGCTCTGATCGGCGCCTACCTGAGGCGAGGGCCAGTAGAAAGACTGTTTTCCACATCAAAAACTTGAGTGGTGCTGAAACAAGAGGCTCAAAGGGAGGTCTGCTTAAGGCTGATAAAAACAACCGACAGGTCCTAATTGGGCGGTTCTCTTGAACGGGCCCTAGGCCTCTGATTATGGAAAGCAGTAAACAGTCTCCTAATAATGGGACAATCGGCTAGACTTGACCCCAAAGAGTTTTCTATGGCGATAGACTTTTCGTCTGCACGAGTCTACTGAGAGCCTTCATGCGTGTAAGTGGTACACTGCTGGGCTTGTTGGAAGTGTGCCGTTCGGTTTGGACAGCAAGTCCGGTATGTCCGGCAGTACTACGGTGTTTCGACTATCATTTCCAGCAGGAGCGGAAACCAGGCCTTGGTCGGCCAATTGGGCACCACCAGAGTTAGTATGCAGGTGGGCTCCTGTCGAAGTTTCTCCAGTACCCGGTGAATTAGCGGGAAGAAAGGCGTACGCATCCATGTGGTATCAGGGGATCGATAAGGAGTCCACAGCCCAGGCTCCTGGTGTTGGCAGGAGTGTTACGTACATCGGGAGCTTTGCGTTCCGAGGTGTGGCGAACAGGTCTATCCTTGGATCGTCCCACAGCCGAAACAGACTGGAGGCAACCCACTGGGGGATCTGCCACTCCGTGTTCTGGAGACGGAGGCACCTAGAAGGGTGTCTGTCAGACCGTTTCTCACCCCTGGAAAGTGGTGTGCGGTTAGCTCCATATTGTATTCCAGGCACCAAAGGAGAATTTGCTCTGCTAGGACCGACAAGGAGGGGGGACGCGTTCCCCCTCCGTGTTTATGCAGGAGACCACCGCTGTGTTGTCTGTGCGGAGCAGAACTCTGTGGTCTTGAACTTTGGGTCGAAAGCGTGAAAGTGCCAGGTGCACTGCTTTCAGCTTGAGCCAGTTGATATGGTGGTCCCGAACTCACTGCGGGGGCCATATTCCTTGGGCTTGTTTGTCCAATATATGCGCTCCCCACCCTTGGAGGGAGGCGTCTGTTACCAGAGTCATAGTTGTGACGAGTGGGTCCAAGGGGACCCCCTGTCTGAGGTTGGTCAGTGACGACCACCAGTACAGGGTTTCCTTTACTTGGTCCGGGATCGATACTCGCCTGTTTAGTTCCCGTAGGTGAGCTCGGTGTTCCAATAACAAGCGTTGGACCGGGCCGCTGCGTAGTGCGGCCTGAGGAACTACCCTTCGAACAGAGGTCATCATTCCGATGAGCCGCATTAGTTCTCGGAGAGACACTGAAGAAACGCTGACTAGGCTCTGCTAGGTTGCTTAGCGCTAAGCAATGCGCTTGAGATGGGCGAACCAGGCCTACTTCGGTGTCGAACTCCATGCCCAGGAACACCAACTGTTGAGTCGGGTCGGGATGGGACTTTTTGTGATTTACTAGGAAGCCCAACTGGTTAAGTAAATCCTGTGTAAGCCTTACATGTCTGGCTAATAACCCCTTGTCTGGGTTGTGTATCAACCAATCGTCTAGGTCTGTAGATTTTGGTACTATGAATACATTTGAGTAGAAGCCCAGACTTAGTGCCGGCTGAACTATACTGTGTATGGTGCCCTTTCTTAGCAAACTGTCTACTTCCTGTCTGATTGCTTCCGCCTTGTGGGGGTCCCCTGGCAGTGGCAGAGAAGATGTCAGTGGTATTCTGTAACCACGTGCGACTAACTGGAGTGTCCAGGGATCGATTACCTGCTGCCTCCAAGCCGGAATGCACCAGCGCAATCTGTGTGTGCCAGGGATCTGTGGCCATGGGTTCGGCGGTTTGCAAGAGGGGGGGGGGGGTTCTCCTCTACTGTGAGGTGAGCCTCCCCGGAGATCACTGGGGTTACTAAGCTGTAGCCTGATCTCTTGCCGAATGCAGGCCCATCCCCTCCGTCGCAGAGGTAAGCGTCAAACATGCTGCTGGGTTGATGACCACCCGAGGAAGAGGAGGAGCCACCACCTGGTCCTCTTTCCCGGGGGCGCGCCGCTACCCTTCCCTCCCGCGTATGGGTACGAGCGCTTGCCTCCTGGCTGACTCTGATTTGCGGAGCTAGTCCTAGGGCGTTGTGCTTTCTGTGCTTGGGGCGCCCTCCGTTCCCCTTGGCAGCGGCCAACTGGCTAGCGGATTCGACTTGAACCATTTACATGTAGTTTGTTACACCCCTGAAGCTCTGCGCCTGCCCCCGATCTCCCCATCAAAGAGGGTGGAGGATCTCCAGTCTGCGTAACTGAGGTGGTGGCTTACCCCCTGACTCAGTTCGCCAGCGAAAACACATGTGTCTAAAACCACGTCCCGCTGCACATTAGTAGCCCCGGCCAAGAGAGCCATATGACACTGGAGGATATCGCACATAGCCGTCCGGTGGCCTACCATTAGCTGTGTCGCCTGGTCTAGGGGGCGAGTGCGTTCTGCGTCTGAGGTCTCAGAGTCCTAGGCGCGCACAAGAATGCGCTCCAGTGTGGCGCACAAGAATGCGCTCCAGTGTGGCGCACAAGAATGCGCTCCAGTATGGCGCACAAGAATGCGCTCCAAGGAAGTTGATGGGTCGTAACTCTGCCCTCAGGGCATGTTGGATAGTCTCAGAATGGGTCGATGAGAATGACCATGGAACACGGCCGTCCCCCTTCACCCGGCTAGCAAAACATAAGTTTGAGGTACCGGGGTCCGGGGAAGGAGCCTGTTGCCACTAGCCTGAGCCTCGGCCTCCCCCGAATCAGCAGGGGGGCCACGGCTGGGAACGGGGGGGGGGGGGGGTTCTGTGTTTCTTCCTACTTGCCGGCTGAGAGGCCGCAGTGGAGACAGCTCGCTCCGCCTGCAGGTGATCTACTCTGCCTGCCAGGGACGCAATTTGCCCTGACAGTCCTTCGACCAATGCCCTCATTTCGGCAGCAAAACCGGCGCCGTGTGAGGATGGGTCCACAACGGGACCCAGCGCGGGCCCCATAGGAGGAAAGACCTCCAGGGCACAGCCTCGCTGTTGCCGGTAAAGTTGGATAACCCACTGCCTGAAAAAACAGACTGTGTAGATGCCCTTCAATCAGTGGGGGCACTCCCACTATCGGGTCCTTTGCTTGGTATTCTGGTATGAGAACCGGTAGCCGAGCGCGAGGACTTATCATTTATGCCAACGCACAACTCACTCATACCCATGCCGATAGCACTTGCAGCACAACCTTTTCGCGAACGAGTGGCGCGGTCAGTCTCGGACTATTTTGACATACTGCTGGAATGACTCCCAGGTTTTCGAACCCCAGCGATTACAAATATTCTCTGGGCAGACACCCGAACCTCGAACGTACGTGAAACAACGATAGCACTTTGTATGAGGGTTCCATTCCTGCAATTGCTGTGTACACTGAGTACAAATCCGCCTCGTAAACTGAGGAGATAATACCGGCGGTGAGCTCTGGCATTGCCAGTGCATCTATCCATTTCTAAATACATTAAAAATAAAAGACGACACGCATGAGGGAAAAAGAATTACAGTTGTAAATTGTCAAATCAATATGTGATTACTTAGTGGCGCCGGGTTTTAATTTCTTTGTTGTGGAAAGCATAACACACAAAGGGGAAAACGACACGAGGGTAAAAAGACAAGAAAAACTTATCCTACCAGTTAGAATGTCGGATGCCGCGGCTGCGGCAACGACCCACGCTAGAAACCCGGACAGGAAAAAGCAACAGAGCCAGGCAGAGCCGCTCAGAATCATTCCCCGTCGAGGTGGAGAAAAATTAAGAGTGATGGATGGCTACCTGTGGCGCTGCCAGGTGGCCTCGGTCACGTGGGTTCGTGACGTAAGGGGTAAAAGAATCTTGAGGTCATGGGGCTTACCCTGACCTGGATTCTATCTCTCCGTCACCGGCAGAATCACTGATTAATGCCTACAGTTCAAAATAGTCATTTTGACTGACCGGAGTCTATGGTGGGTAATTGAACGTAGTGAATATGGTACATTTCAAAGTGTTAGTCAACTTACATCCTCTGGGTTTCATGATGAACATTAGAAGCAGTAACTATGGGAGGGCAATCACTGATAGTCACAGTGGTGTCATCAAGGGGAAGTGACATTGGAGCATTATCGTCATTATGAATCCTAGCATGAACATCAGAATTATCATTGACAGGACTACGAAGATCAGGATTTTTCATTCTTGCTAATTGGGTCAGAGTTGTCCTGCTCAGACCAAAATCTTCAAGTTTTGGTGTGCAAAGCTCATCTTTCTCTGGAATTTGACTTCTTGGAGGAGTCTGAAACCTGGTCAAAATTATTGTTAAAGAAAATGTAACTAGTGCCCTAAAATTTCTGGAGGTATTATTGCTTATAACATTTCCATGAAAATGCCATCACAGACGATCCTGTCCGGCCGTAGAGCAGCAAGGCTGTGATTGTTGTGACTCACATTTTCAGGGCAACAAGATCAGGACGACATGGAGCGAGTATTTTTGCACTGCTGTTGCCAAGAAATTTAAAGCAGCAGTAAAGCAAAAAAAAGCATTTAGGATTCAAAGAAATAGTTGTTCTCCTGCCACCGTGTTGACAAGGGTAGCAGCAGTGCATCTATTTTGTTGTACAGATGTAGAACTGAAGTAATCTTTTATCATGTGACACACTTTCAGCAGTAACAGTCAAGGCAGGCTTGGTTTTTTAGGGAGGAAAGGACTGCTGAATTGTCAGTTTAGTGCATATGCTACATTTGATACTTACATAACCGTACATGTACTAACTTACATGGATTTAGCTTTTATTTTGCCTCTTTTTCACTGTTTCTTTATTCCAAGATATGAGACAGCTGTACACTATCATATCTATGCACTGGGATTTAGATGCTGAACCATAATTTATTTCTAAGCAGTTTTCACTGATGTGGACTTCCCTATATATTAATTCTTATCAGAATTATGTTTTTGTTATTGAATTATAACCTAAGAAATCAATAGGATATGCGACACTTAATAAGGGGGTTGTAATGAATAAAAAAACATCAGTTGAAACTGGTTTTCTAATAGATTTCACTACACAAGTGAAAATACAAGGAGAAGATTTGTAGAGCATGGAAAAATAATAAAGAATTACAATTTGGTGATTTATATTACAGTGCCAGTTTTTGCACCACAATGTGTTAGATATGCAACATATAAAATGCATAGTCAAAATTCAAGGGAATGAAAATTGGTGAAAGTCATTGTGTGTGGTTGTACCAAGGTTCCTAGTCAATATTTTACTGCTACACAATTCACCAATTTTCCCAACTTATAAACATTTGTCTCTTGATATTAAATCAGTACAAAATACATGTAATCATGTGACATTCTACTCATAACATTAGTGTATTTCCAGCATGTTGCTGACAATGTTGCAGTGTATTTACAGCATGTTGCTGACAATGTTGCAGTGTATTTCCAGCATGATGCTGACAATGTTGCAGTGTATTTCCAGCATGTTGCTGACAATGTTGCTGGCTAGTACACCAAATGCAGAATTGTTGGTCAAGGATACACCTTAGTTTCTTGATGCACTTCAACAACACTATTCTTGTGTATCTGGCTTTGTGCAGAGGGTTTTTCGTTTTCTTTGTCTTCTTCTGAATCTTCTACTTGAGATTTGTTTCTGGGTTCTGAAAGATAAATGAATAAAAATGACAAATAAAAATGAGTTTTCTAAAAACTGCCAGATGAAAAAGTTCAGTAATATACATGAACACAAACAAATTATTCATAAAAAAATAATTAAGGTAGCATGAGGGAAAAAACTAGAAAAAAAACGTTTTTCAAAAAATTTCAGAATACTAAACATATTGTATAGGGGTACTTTCTAATATTGACTGTATGTGATGCGTTTGGTGCATAATTTCAGTTATTTTTTTCATGAACCTAGCTATGGGTAAACACAACATTTACATACCAGGTTGAGTGACTAAATGAATTTAATTTGCATCAAGCTTTATTATATCCTCGCTATAGTTTTTATTTAGATTTCAAGCTCTTAAGAGTGTTTTTATTTTATTGGGTTGACATGTTTTTCTGCCTATTAGTTTTTGTTTTTCACCACAGACTATAGAAAGTGTTGTGTTGTATAGACCTCACTAGAAGTATTTGCATCACAAATAGGCTTATCTCACGGTCTGAACGTTGATATGTTGTATTGATGTTGACACTAATATTATTCTGTATCAAGGCCCGACAACAACAAAGAAAGGTACATTTGTAAAAACAGAATTTCTTAATTGAATTGTCTCTATGTTGCGTGTATATTTTATAGCGTCTATTTTGAATGATAATTTCCCCTCCCCAAAAAAAATCATGACAGTGGCATGGTATAAATTCATATATACCGACATTCCCTCCAGTATTGAGGGACTGTCATATACAGTGTAGCCTACGCCAATAGAATCTCTCTGCATATTACATAACAAAACATCCACATGCAAATCTCTGTTCACCACAGCAAATGCTATACTTTCAATTTGTTAATCGGAAGGCAAACACTTAGTGCTAACTTGGTTA